AAGGTTCCGTGTGCACTTGAGAAAAAGGTGAAGTTGATTGTTTTGGGGTGAAACGTCCTATAGATGTCAATTAGGTCTAGCTGGTCCATTGTGTCCTTTAAAGTTTGTGCTTCTTTGTTCATTTTCTGTTTAGTTGATCTATCCATAGTTGTGAGTGGGGTATTAAAGTCTCCTACTATTATTGTGTTACTATTAATTTCCTCTTTCATACTCGTTAGCGTTTGCCTTACATATTGCGGTGCTCCTATGTTGGGTGCATATATATTTATAATTGTTATATCTTCTTCTTGGATTGATCGTTTGATCATTATGTAGTGTCCATCTTTGTCTCTTTTCACAGCCTTTATTTGAAAGTCTATTTTATCTGATATGAGTATTGCGACTCCTGCTTTCTTTTGGTCTCCGTTTGCGTGGAATATTTTTTTCCAGCCCTTCACTTTTAGTCTGTATGTGTCCCTTGCTTTGAGGTGGGTCTCTTGTAGACAGCATATATAGGGGTCTTGCTTTTTTATCCATTCAGCCAGCCTTTCGGAAATTAGACACCGAAGAGACGGCAAACAGAAGCCAAATAAACAAAGGGAACCGCTTCAGAAAGGACTGGTACAACAGATTAAAATCCATGAAGGTAACACCGACTACACCAGAAGGGGCCTACAGATATCGAGAAGTGTAAGCTGGAAAGAGGAGCTATCTGAAATTGAACTGAACCTACGCTGACTGCAACAACTCCAGAGAAATTCCTAGATATATATATATATATATATATTTTTTTAATTTAAAAAAAAATTTTTTTTTCTATCTTTTTTTTTATTTTTTTTAATTTTTTCTCTTTTATTTTCTTTTAAAATTCCCTATTACTCCCCCATTACTCCTCAACTTTCATTTTCATATATTTTTACGATTTTTTTAATTAGGGAAAAAAAAATTTTTTTTTCTTTTTTTTTCTTTTTCTTGTTTTTCTCTCCTATTTTAAAGTCCTCTAATACTCCTCTATTATTCCTTAATTTTCATTTTCATTTCACTATAACCTTGCCAAAAAAAAAAAAGAGAGAGAGAGAGAGAAACCCTATTTTTAAATCAAACTTCATATACATTTCTAAATTTTGTTTTTGTTTTTAAATATTGTATTTCAAAGAGTCTAACCTCTACACTAGATTTTTAATCTTTGTTTTTCAGTAGTAGGTGATATAAATTTTGGTCATTTAAGAATCCAATATTCAGTTCCCATTTCTATTCAGGAGTGTGGTGATTACTCTCCCACTTTTGACTCTCTGTTTTCTACCTCGGAACACCTCTATTTCCTCCTTTCCCCTTCTCTTCCCAATCCAACTCTGTGAATCTTTGTGGGTGTCTGGGCTACGGAGAACACTTTGGGAACAGATAACTGCGTAGATCTGTCTCTCTCCTCTTGAGTCCCCTTTTTCTCCTCCTGATCACCTCTATCTCCTTCCTCCCTCTCCTATTCTTCATGTAACTCTGTGAACCTCTCTGGTTGTCTCTCACGGTGGAGAATCTTTTCACCATTAACCTAGAAGTTTTATTATCAGTGCTGTATAGTTGGAGAAGTCTTGAGACTATTGGAAGAACAAAACTGAAATCCAGAGGCAGGAGACTTAAGCCCAAATCTTGAGAAAACCAGAAAACTCCTGACTACACGGAACATTAAGGAATAAGAGACCATCCAAAAGCTTCCATACCTACACCAAAACCAACCACCACCCAAGAGCCAATAAGCTCCAGTACAAGACATACCACGCAAATTCTTTAGCAATGCAGAAACATAGACCTGAGTGTCAACATACAGGCTCTCCAAAGTCACACCTAACACATAGATCCATCGTAAAACTCATTACTGGACACTCCATTGCACTCCAGAGAGAAGAAATCCAATTCCACGCACCAGAACGCTGACACAAGCTTCCCTAACCAGGAAACCTTGACAAACCAATCGTCCAACCCCACCCACTGGGTGAAACCTCCACAATAAAAAGGAACCTCAGACCACAAGAATACAGAAAGCCCACTCCAGACACAGCAATCTAAACAAGATGAAAAGGCAGAGAAATACCCAACAGCTAAAGGAACATGAAAAAAGCCCACCAAGTCAAACAAAAGAGGAGGAAATAGGGAATCTACCTGAAAAAGAATTTAGAATAATGATAATAAAAATGATCCAAAATCTTGAAAACAAAATGGAGTTACAAATAAATAGCCTGGAGACAAAGATTGAGAAGATGCAAGAAATGTTTAACAAGGACCTAGAAGAAATAAAAAAAAGTCAATTAAAAATTAATAATGAAATAAATGAGATCAAAAACACTCTGGAGGGAACCATGAGTAGAATAACAGAGACAGAAGATAGGATAAGTGAGTTAGAAGATAAAATGGTGGAAATAAATGAAGCAGAGAGGAAAAAAGAAAAAAGAATCAAAAGAAATGAGGACAACTTCAGGGACCTCTGGGACAATGTGAAACGCCCCAACATTCGAATCATAGGAGTCCCAGAAGAAGAAGACAAAAAGAAAGGCCATGAGAAGATACTCGAGGAGATAATAGCTGAACACTTCCCTAAAATGGGGAAGGAAATAGCCACCCAAGTCCAAGAAACCCAGAGAGTCCCAAACAGGATAAACCCAAGGCGAAACACCCCAAGACACATATTAATCAAATTAACAAAGATCAAACACAAAGAACAAATATTAAAAGCAGCAAGGGAGAAACAACAAATAACACACAAAGGGATTCCCATAAGGATAACAGCTGATCTATCAATAGAAACCCTTCAGGCCAGAAGGGAATGGCAGGACATACTTAAAGTAATGAAAGAGAATAACCTACAACCTAGATTACTCTACCCAGCAAGGATCTCATTCAGATATGAAGGAGAACTCAAAAGCTTTACAGACAAGCAAAAGCTGAGAGAATTCAGCACCACCAAACCAGCTCTTCAACAAATATTAAAGGATCTTCTCTAGACAGGAAACACAGAAAGGTTGTATAAACGTGAACCCCAAACAACAAAATAAATGTCAACGGGACCACACCTATCAATAATTACCTTAAATGTAAATGGGTTGAATGCCCCAACCAAAAGACAAAGGCTGGCTGAATTCTTGTTTCTTTGAATTGCTATCAACTTCCCTCTTAGAACTGCTTTTGCTGTGTTCTATAGATTGTGGATTATTGTGCTTCTATTTTCATTTGTCTCCTGGTATTTTTTAAAGTTTCTTCTTTGATTCCTTCCATTATCCATTGGTTATTTAGTAGCTTATTGCTTAACCTCCAGATGTCTTATGTTTTTATTCGCATTGCTTGGGTAGTTGATTTCTAGTCTCATAGCACTGTGGTCAGAAAAGATGCTTGATATGATTTCAATTTTTAAAAATTTACTGAGACTTCTGTGTCATAGCATATGATCTATCCTGGAAAATGTTCCATGTGCACTTGAAAAGAATGTATATTCTGTTGCTTTTAGATGAAATATTCAATATATATCTATTAAAACCATTTAGTCTGAAATGTCATTTAAGGCCAGTGATTTTCTCTCTGAATGATATAAGTGGAGTGTTGAAAGTTCCTTATTGTTGTGTGACTGCCAATTTCTCCCTTTATAACTGTTACTATTAGTTTTATATATTTATGTGTCTTATGTTGGGTGCAGATATATTTATAATTATTATATCTGCATATTGAATTAATCCCTTGATCATTACCCTTCTTGTCTCTTGTTACAGTCTTTATTTTAAAGTCTGTTTTGTCTAAAACTTGGCTTTATTTTCTTCTTCATTTGCATGGAATATCTTGTTCTGTCCCTTCTCTTTCAGTCTGTATGTGTCTTTAAATTTAAAGTAAGTCTCTTATAGGCAGCACATACATAGATATTGTTTTTGTATCCAATCAGCTACTCTCTATCTTTTGAATTGAGCATTTAGTCCATTTACACTTACGGTAATTATTGATAGGTACGTACTTTTTATCATTTTGTTAATTGTTTTGGTGCTGTTTTTCTTGTTCTTTTTGTTTTTTTCTTCTTCCTTTGCTCCCTTTTCTTATGTTTGATGGCTACTTATTTCTGTTTATTTGACAAGTTGGTTACATTTCCTGTCCTTGTAGACATGATCCTAGGATAAGACATCATACGTTTCTCAGCAGCACACTCTCCTCTGGTCACTTGAGCTATATGCTCTAGGGTTTCCCCCAGTTTGGGCTGTGTGGGTCCTTCTGTTGTGGTGGCTGAGTACTGTGGGCAGTCTGGTGTGCATCACTGGCCCTTTGTCTGGTTGGCTGCCAGTCCTTCCTTTTTTTTTTTTTTTGTGGAGGTGGCTGTCTGCTGGCAGAAAAGGCTGGCTCATGACGCAGCGGGCTGTAGATCCCTAGGGAGTCCTGGGGCTATTGTTAGCCCACTGGTGGGCAGAAGTGGGCTCCAAGGTAGGTGGTTGTGGGATTGGGGGTCCTGGATATACTTTTGGTCTGCTGCTGGGTGGGGCCTCTTGCTGGCATGGCTGGCTGTGGGGTGTCCCAAAGCTGGCTGGCTTTTTGGTGAGTAGGGCTGGATCCTGGGCTACGGGGCTCAGTGTATCCCAGAGCTGGTGTTGGCCTGCTAGTGAGCATGGCATAAGTGAGGAGAGCCCTGGGCTGGCCCTGGCCTGTTAATGGGCAGGCTGGGTCCTGACACAGCCGACTGTGGAGCTGTGGAGGTCCTGGGATTAGTATCTGACCTGGGGCTAAGCCCCAGGGGGTCCTGGGGCTGGTGCCACCTGTGGGCAAAGCCTAGTTCTAATACTCCTGGCTGCAGGAGCCTGGAATCATGGGTGATAGCCGGTGTGTTGCTATGTGGGACCAAGCCCTGGGCCCTCTGGTGGGGGAGTCTTAAGACAGCAGGGTGCCAGTGGGTGGCTGGACCCAGCTTTTTGCTTGGCCTGAGACATCTCAGTACTGGTGCTGACAGGCTGGTGAGTGGGGCCAGGATTGCACTAGTTAGCTACAGGGAAGATTCCAAGATGGCCCTTGCTAGCACCAGTGTCGTCCTGGGAGGACGAGCTTACAAATATGGTTGCTGCCGGTGTTTCTGTCCTCAGTGTGAGCTTCAGTTGCTCCTGCCTCTCCAGGAGGCTCTCCAAGATCAGCAGGTAGGTCTGACCCAGGCTCCTTTCAAATTACTGCTTCTACCCCAAGTCTTGGTGTGTGTGAGATTTTGTATGAGCTTTTTAAGAGTGGAGGGGCCACACTATGTTTCCACAGTATGAATGGTAGGAGGACCCTGGGGTATTTGTTTTTCTGTACCTTGGGCCATAAGCTTCTGCTTAACAGTAGATGAAAGGATGAAAATATATGAGAAGTTACTTTTAAAGACTTCCAGTGTGATTGAGGAGGTCCAGAAGAGCACAGAGGAAAATTAACATTAGTGTAGAAAATAGAAAATAGAAGAGTACCTTTGGGTAAATTCTAATCAGTATGCATAGGGACTTTGTGATCCTATATTCAGAAGATACAGAGTGTCCTGCACAGACAGAGTTTGTGATTTCTGGGACTGTGATTGTTGGATCTCATTGTAATGAATAATAAGCTGTCCTAGTTTGGTGTATCTTTTAGTCTTCTTTGGGGGTTCCCTGGTAGCTCAGACAGTAAAGAGTCTGTATACAGTGCGGGAGACCCAGGTTTGATCCCTGGGTTGGGAAGATCCCCTGGAGAAGGAAATGGCAACCCACTCCAGTATTCTTGCCTGTAAAATCCCATGGACTGAGGATCCTGGTAGACTACAGTCCATGGGGTTGCAAAGAGTCAGACACGACTGGGTGACTTCACTTCAATCTTCTTTCAGTATCTTTCAGGCTTCAGTGCTTCTGCTCTCTGTTCTTACTGCACTTCTGCTCTCTGTTCTTACTGCCCTCTTTGCTAGTTTTGCTAGTCCCAAAGTCTATGCAGTGCAGGCACTTGGAAGTTTTTCTTTAAATCCCTTTGCCAGGTGGAATTAGAACTCCCTACTCCCACCAGCACTGCTCCTCAGGCTTTTGGACCATATTTCCTAGGCACATCCCAAGTATAGGAGTTTCCAGGGGAAGATGTATCATTTCTATCATATCTGGTCTACTTCCCAAGACTGTATTTCTTTGTTTCAGCTGATGAAGGACCATACTCTTTCTCATTCTTCAGACAACCAGCCTTCTGGACCTCAGTGCTTCTGTTCATGTTCTGCTTGGGCCTGAAATCCTCCCACCCCAACTCTCTGTTACTGGGGAAGGTTTTTTTGGTTCCAGGAGAGAAACAAAGTAAGCTTACTTAAATAAAAAAGAGAAAACTTACTGAAAAGACAAATAAGAAAGCTCAATGAACTGAAAGGCAGTAACTGGGCCTTAGGAACCAGGAACTGGAAGGCAGTAGAAATTCAGGTAGTATTTTCTGTCTCACATTTCGCCTTTCTTCTCATCTCTGCCCACTTCATTCTTTGCTCTTCGTGGACTGATTTCCTTTGTTCTCTGTTCTCATGATGGAAGACTTGGCCTCCTTCTAGCTCCCAAGTTTATAAGCAATAGACTCAGCTACCTAGAGAGGCTAATGTTCTCTTTCATTCTGGGTCCCAATCCCAAACTCCAAAGAAGGTACTTTGCTTGGTCTATTTTGTGTCAGTGGCCCTTGGCTGAAAAAAGTAGCTGTGTCCAGGGGTCAGGATCAAGCAACAGATATATAATACACTATTAATACAATGCCTCTGGGCAAGAGGAGCAACTTCCAAAGAACAAGGGTGGGTAAGTCACAGGATGCCTGGTATTCCTTTCTCCATGCCTGTGAAATAAATGGCCGCCCTTCTTTATTTTTTCATATCAATACAATCAGTAAATGTCTCAGGCAAAGTGCTAGTGCTAAAAATACAGAGTTGAATGAAACCTTGTCCCTACCTCAGAAATCTTACAGCTGAGCAGAGAATGTAAACACAGGAAAATTTTTACTTATCCTTTACAACCCAATTCAGATATCACCCACATTATTTGGGGGTCTTCTCTGACCCTCTCCCTGTTCCAGTTCTCACAGCTTTGTTGGTGTTACCCTCGTTCTCAATTCCCTGTGGCTCCATGTACCTACCTCTGCTGTAAAAATCACATTTTGTTACAGTTCATTTTTATGATTTTATTATGTTTTTTGTTGTTCAGAAAATGTCTGTTGATTGAAAGAAAGAGTGAGGTCTTTAGGCCTCTACCTCCTCTGAGTTGTAAGGCCGATGAGGAAATACTGTGTCTCTGCATGTATCAGGGTAGATTGCTTGGCATCTCTTGAGAAGACAGGGCTACTATGGACACACAGCCTGTTTCATATGAATAGGAGTTGGAGGAACTAGCCTGCTGCCCACAAGAGTAGTAATTGATAGCCCTCAATAGTCACAGTGGGAAATGCCTCACAGCTTTTTTGCATTACAAAAAAGTTAAGTCAGACCATTAGCTTGATGGGTTTTTTGATTTTGGGTTTTCCTTCTTAAAAGGGAGCCTTAATACCAATGTCTCTCCTTTCTGAATCTTCCATTATTTATTATTTCCTTTCCCCATCAAGTTCCTATCTGTGATAAGCTCCAATTGGCTGTATCAAAATTTTTAGTTTATTGAAGGGTAAAATAAGGAAAATAAAATTCACCCAAAGCACTCTTTGAGTGATTCACAGAACAATTAGCAGTACCCAAGTTTGATTTAAATGATATTTTTTAAATGAGAAAATTTCTTAAAGTACTTAGCCAGGGCTTGTTATGTTCATAGAACTGACTCATAGTCCTTTTGGATTTTTGAGTGAATGCCATTGTTAGTTTTCAGTTTGCAACAATACATAATTGGCATCCAAGAGCTCTACATTTTTTATTTTTTCCCCACGAGTCAGCTCTGAGGGGCAGGAGGCAGGAACATTTCTCCTGGGCCTGTGCTTCCCTTCTAAGGAGTTCCATGCCTCCTTTTCTGGGTTGTATATTCTGAGGTGCTGGATGATTAGGACATTTGATAGAGTTTTTTCTGTTGCATTTGTTATGGCATTCTCTTCCTTTGCATTTTCTTATTCCACATTAAAAAACACACACACACACACACAAACAACTTTTGTTTTGTATTGCTGCTGCTGCTGCTAAGTCGTGTCAGTCATGTCCGGCTCAGTACGACCCCAGAGACGGCAGCTCACCAGGCTCCCCCATCCCTGGGATTCTCCAGGCAAGAACACTTGAGTGGGTTGCTATTTCCTTCTCCGATGCATGAAAGTGAAAAGTGAAAGGAAAGTCGCTCAGTCGTGTCCGACTCTTAGCGATCCCACAGACTGCAGCCTACCAGGCTCCTCCGTCCATGGGATTTTCCAGGCAAGAGTACTGGAGTGGGCTGCCATTGCCTTCTCCGTGTTTTGTATTGAGGTATAGCCAACTAACAGTGTTGTGACAGTTTCGGGTGAACAGCAAAGGGACTCAGTCATTCGTATAAATGTATCTATTATCTCCCAAACTCCCCTCTCATCCCCTTATTCCATTTTGAAGAGAAAATCGGTGGCAATAATTCCCTTCTCCTTCTCTCCCTTCACCCTTTTTGTGGGGAGAGGATGGCTCAAACAATGACCAATCAGCGGAGAGTTTTCTCTAATCACGATGCCTTTCGTTTCCTCCTCTGTAAAATGAGGTTAACAGTAGAACATATTTTATTAAGTTGTGGGGGGAAAATGAGAAAATAAAGAAGAAAATACATACGAACAGCTAGAATTCTGTTACCTAGTAAGTGTTCAGTAAGTGATACTTATTATTAACTCCCCTAAGCTTCTGCAGATGCTGACACTGGGCAAACCAGATGCAAATAAGTCAGGATCCATATGTCTGCACCTCTGGGGTCTCTTGTGCCATGATGGTGCTCAGAACACTAGAAGTCACCAGCAACCATCTCCAACCTTCCAGACTAAAACTGCTCTTGTCCCAAACTTAGTATTTAAAAAGAAATGGAAATCATCTGTATGTGTTTTTAGTCTGCTGTCAATGAGTTTTTGCTTCTATTTGTCTCCTGCTTAAAGTGATCTTTTAAGTTAAACAATGAGCAATTGCTGAAAAAGAACCACGAAGAAATCTAGGTTCTAATTAACTTTATCTCTAATTGTTATGTAGCTCTGAGTCAGTGTTTTTTTGGTAAACAAGGGTAAGAACTACAAAGATTAATGAAGGTTGTCAAGATCAGTGGAAGAACAAAACTGAAAATTTCCACGATACCTTACAAATCCAATACTTTGTTTCATTTGATTGCGTACAACCTGGTGAAGCTGGAAGAGTTATTTATTTCTGTTTTGCTGTGTATGAAAACTGAGCACGGAGGAAGAGAGGCTCTTCGACATGACTTGGTTTCCACATTCCTTCCCATGTTCCAGCCCTCTTACAAAGCCCTATAATGGAATTGTTTGTTTCTTGTGTCCTTCTCCCACCAGAATGAGATCTTCTCAAGGACAGAACCCCAACTCACTCATCTCTGTGTCTCTAGTGTCCAAGGCACATAGTACATGCTTAGTGATGTAGAATGAATGAATGAAAAGAGAGCCAAGGCCAAAGACTTGGTACTATGATTCTCAGACAAATGCTTGTTTGCTAGTTTTATACTGCTTCCCCTCCTGCAGTGACCATGAAGTTATCAGAGAAATAGGAAAAGTGACAACTTATGAAGATACAAGCAGGAACCCTGAACCAAGAATATGGATTTTTTTTTCTGTATTTGGTTTTTTAGATGGGACACTCAAATACTCATCTAGTCTGACAACATTAATCAGTCATGGGGATTTGCTCGGGCACTGAGCTCCATGATGCAGGCTTGTTTCCTAGTTTGGGAGATAGGAGGGATGGATGTGAACAGGTTGCTCAGGGTCAACAGTGAGAACTGAATGTCCTAAGAGTTGGAGATTGATGATGACTTCCTGGAAGAGGCTGGATTTGGCCTGGGTCCCAAAGGGTCAGAGGAAGTAGCTCTCCAGCAGAGGGGATGCTGGGAGAGGGGAGGCACCAGAGTGGACAGTGTTGGGTGTGTTTGGGGACCACTGGCCTCAGTTGGTTTTGGGTTTTCTCAGTGAAAACCACAGAAACTTTCAAGGGGTGAGAACCTCTTTTATGTCTTCTACACTAAACCTATTCATGCTCTCTCTGCAT